TGCTCAACATCCGAATTCAATGAGGTTTTAAGGCTAACGAGGCATCAGATCACTAATGCAATGCATTTTTTTTACTATAGTTTAGAAAAAAAGTCAACCCATCCGTAGAACGCGCTGGCAATAAGTTTGTAACTTCGCATCAACCCATGAGTTATCTGTACAGCATTGTAGCAAGCCAGGTAGTGGTCAAATGCTTCCATATCTGGATTGGTGTTGTGGGTAAAGTGCTCCGCTCATAATGAGGTTACTGGTTCAATTCACGTTGGAGCACCATTGGTACCTCATTTGCCAGTAAAAAATATGATAATTGGTTTTTTACCCTTTAATCTGGCAACAAAACTGACACCTTTTTTTCTCATACTCTGGTGGTGCATTGTCTTTGAGTTGTGCGCCTTTTGGCAGTCATCTGGTCCAACCCATGTGAGACTAGGCTCTAAGGAAAGCTGTCTCGGGTCTGGACCAATCAACTTCAAGGACAGTGCATACATTATCAGAGTTATATATTTTTTGCATTATGACTTCACGTTGGAGCTTGACTTAAGAAATTGGTGGGGTATTAACGAAATAAGTAACAGCTTGTGTGATGCCAACGGTGGTTGTTCTATATAGACATTGACCATTGGCATAGGAATGTGGAATTTTCACAACATGGGCAACTTAAAAGAGCAACACCCCGACACTCACTTGATCAAGGAAACTTCTTCATATGGATTATTATTGTTGTGGTGGTTTCGTTCAATCAACATCGCACGATTTATCTATAACGATGCAACGCTAAGGGTAGTGCGTTTCTAGCTCACGATGAGACAGTGTGTCTTGACTAACTGTGTGTGTAGTTTGTTGTCCTTTTCCCGCGCAGTTGGTTATGTACGGTGCGAAAGGAGTTCAACAAACATACATACAACTGTATGGTAGCACCGCGTGCTTTGAACCTTCCACCAGAGTTCTGTTCCCGGTCATGGCTAACATCACTGGCGTGTTGTATCGTACCTGAGCCTGTCCTACTCCTCGGCCCTCCACCTTCACCAAACCTGCCCTGACGAACCACGGTGATGTACGGTCAAAGAAGCCCCAATGACCGATGCGGTGTGTGGGGAGGCCCTCGTCCCAGCAGTGGCTTACAATGGGCTGTATAATCGTGAGCTTAACACTCATCAGGACGGCACAGTGGCAACCCTCGTCCGTCACAGCAAGAGGATCTTGCATTCAGTTCTCGACTAGGGTGCCTTAGGGTACCACGGTGGGGAGATGTTAACTACATTGCCTGGTATACAGGAGGTCGTGGGTTCGATCCAGGCCCTGGCACCTGCTGTATAGTTGGAGTTTGCGTGTTCTGCCCGTGGTAGCGTGGATTTTACTCCAGGTCCTCCGGGTTTTCCCTTCACATTTAGAAGCACGCGTTTAGAGTATTTGGCTGCTGTGCATTTCCACATGATAAGCTAATTCCTTGAGCTATCATTTGTGGCCAGGTCACTTCTAAAAAAGTGCTATATAGCTCAGTGGGCCTTACCTGGTAGAATAAAATAAAAACACGTGTGTTTTTAAAGTATATATTTGTTTAGTTTATGTGTGAAGTTTTGATGTTCTCCCCCTGTTCTGCATGAGTTTCCGCATGGGTTCTCCGACTTCCTCCCATCGTAAAGAAAACAGATACACAAACACCCCATACATCGCAACTGGCATTGGCCAAACATCCCACTGCTGAAACATTACCTGGAAGATTAACTAAATTGGGACTACGTGAAGCAAATATTCACCCCGACCGTGAAATACTTGGCAGGGGTCTCCTGAAAAAAACACAGCAAGGGCTTTAATTCTAGATTTGAAGCTTTCGTGACTGCAAGGATTCATATTCTTAGGTTTTTTTCGGTAAAGTCACGTAGGTAAAAAAAAATTTAATTAATAAAAGTACAATAAAATTAAAAAACACGACGTTTCGGAGGCAACACAAGCTTCCGTCTTCAGGTGGAACCGTCACAGCCACGACAGCTGTACCAACAGCTGTCGTACTTTTATTAATTTAATTTTTTTTTACCTACGTGACTTTACCGAAAAAACCTAATAATACAGCAAGGGCTTTCCTGGGAAACCACGCAGTAAATATAAATACATCAAATCTGGAATTCTGGAATATTGCGTCTTTCGCGGTGCAGTCTGGCACTGCAGCATATCTCTCGCAGGGGGAGCCAGTATTCCACCATTGTAAATGAATTAAACGTTAAAAAAAACACGGGAATCTTGACATGTCTCCCAACGGCGTGGCACTGCACCGCATCTCTCGCATAGGGAGCCAGTATTCCACCGTTGTAAATGAATAAATGTTTAAAAAACCACGGGAATCTTGACATGTCTCCCAACGGAGTAGCACTGCACCGCATCCCCGGTAGGGGGAGCCCGTATCCCGCAGTTGTTGCGGCAGTGTGGAGGATGATGATGGTTCGTTTTCCCCTCCTCCGGTGTTCCACAAACAGTGTTCGCAAAGCGCTTAGAACTTCACCACCCCTCTGGCTTTACGCGCGTCGTGCAGCAGCCCTGCGAGACAAAACAACGAGACGTTCGCATTTTTACAGCCCACGTGTATATACAGAGCCGCTAATGGCTGGACGGGCGCGGATGAAAAACAGACTTTCTTAAACAAAGCTGCGGATTGATGGCCTCATCTAGATGGGTGCACGGACTACCCCCTGTTTTTTATCCCCCCCCCCCCCCTCCACGATTTCTTTCAGCTGAGTTTGAGACGAGGAGGCTGCGCCATAGCTGCGATGTTGCGGCGTGTGCTGCTGCGGGTGGATGCATAGCAATTTGAATTGTCTCTGAGAATACTCCGCTGTTCGCGATCTGTAGGTCGTGCGGGGTTGCTTGACCATACTTTACCACGCTGGTCAAAGGAGAGAGGGGCGCGGGGAGGGGTGATTCGCAGGACCGGTTTAAAACATCACACTTTTGGTACCTCATTTGGCAGTAAAAAATATGATAATTGTTTTTTTGCTTGTATTATGACTGCAGGTATTGTGGTCTATGCAAACATGACTCGTAAAAAAAGGAGTCAGTTTTGTTGCCAGATAAGAGGGTGAAAAAACAATGATCAACATCACACTTGTCTATGTCGTGAGCCTTGGTCGAGACTCGAACCTAGGGGCAGTCCCACTCACTCACCACTGCGCCGTGTGTTGCGTGCGTGGTATATGGTGTCCCTTAAAATACCACGCGTGCCGCCCTAATGGCAGTTCGCGTGTGAACCCGGGGTCAAGTTCACTCCGTGTCTCAATGCGTGGCGTGTGAGGGCGTGATGCTGCGTCTCAGCAAGCATCCCACGGCGCTAGTCGCTTCATATAAACGTGGGTGAAAGATACAGTGGCACGATATCAACGTGAAACTGGCTTTTAATATTTTCCAGAATGTGAAGTTTGTTGACTAATACTGCACCCACCTCGGCAATTCAATGTCACAACCTAAAGGAGTGTCCTCCTCACATCCCCTGCTCTTACCAAATGTCTGCACTCTACATGATGTTCTTCTCACGTGTGCATTCGCTGTGTTCATCCTTTACGCGATGATATCGTCGGTTTCATTGGGGGGGGGGGGGGGGGGCTACGGTTTCGAATTACAATAAATACTACGACCGTCGCCGCCTCCTTGTTACTAAGCACCTTGCTTTGAACACATGTTGGCTTGCCACCTGACGATTGTGGCCAGGTAGAATGGGAGTCCACTGACACACACACACACCAATAACTCTTTGCCAATAGCGTCACGGACTCCGAAAACGCAAACACTCATTCTCGAACAAGCGGCCCTTTGAACCGAGGCTGAGACTCGAACTAGTGGCTTGGGTTCTCGGAAGAGAAGGCGTTGCCCTCTGATCTGACTCTACGGTACGTTCGAGTGGCAAGCGGTTGCAAAGAAAGGATAACCCCGTGAAAATACACAGGCATGGTTTAAAAAAACAACTATTCGTAATTTGCAGCCACAGATCAGAGTTGTGAACTCTGCTATGTGAAACAACTACTGCTGGTCCCCTGCCCGCAATCGCAGCCTTTGCCAGGGAGGAGGGGGGGATATATATACGAAAAAGGTAGTGTCAGATATAAAATGTAGAATAAGAAAAAAAACAGGCATGGTCAAGAGCGTTAACAATGACATCGCTTGCTGTACTCCAAAGCATCAGGCTAAGTGTGCAATGAGCAGCTTGCGAAGGGACGGAAATGTATACAGTGCAAACCTCAGCATTGTCATCTTTGTGAAGGCAAAACACGTTATGTAGTGGGCTGACGTTTTGGGTTGTTGGGCGTTATTCATCTGATCTCTGTTTACAATGTTATTCTACCCGGCTGCTACCGGATTTATTAAAGTAGAACGTGGAATAGATACCGTGGAATACATGAACAATTTCTGAATGAATGTTCTTTTACCTGAGTTGGGCCTTTGGACGAAGTATGGGTATCGAACCTATCCGTTACAAGGTTCGAGGGGCAAAGCCTCCACCGTGATCGCTGAGTGACAATGATTTTTTCTCTTTCTTCCGAGACCCCATGCACATTTAGATCGCTTTGCCAATTCCTAAGTCGTTTAGCACACACCGGGAATTACGTGAGTCGTAGTCGCTAAAAAAAAACTAAATCCGACAGCTTTATTCGTGAAGGACAAAACCCACCGGGTTGTTGAAAAGTAAGAGGAGAGAGAAACAACAGAAAAACAAGCAGAGAGGCAGTTTAGCTGCACGAGAAAAAGAGAGGAAAAAACACCCAAACGTTCAAATATAAACACAAATGAGAGACAATGTTAAAGAGAGAGAGAGGATGGGGTGGAATGGAGGAGAGTGGGGGGGGGGGAGAGCATTACACCCCCGCCTTCCTCCCCGGTTCGCTACCCAACACCAGGAACCCCCCATCTCACCACCCCCCCAATGTCCCCTCCCCTACACACACACATATATATATTTCACTTTCCTTTCCGGCTGATGAGAGTTCGTTGCGTGCCGCACGCGGGTGTAACTCAGCACACGCGCGCACGCAGCGCCGCCGCTGCCTTGTGGCTTAGAAGCCGGCAGCGCGCGCACACACGCGCACACTCACACACTCACACACGTGCGCCTGTGTGTGTGTGAGTTCTGTGTCCAGTCTATAGACACACGCTCAACCGTGCCGCGTGCACACAGACACGCACGCGCGCACACGTGGAGCGCGCCCTCTTGCTGTGCTCGCAGCGTGCGTGTGCGTCGTGTGTGTGTGGGGGGGGGGGTGAGTTAGGGAGGTGGGGGGAGGTTTGTTGTTGCTGCTGCTGCTATCGTGGTTGGGTACCGAGGCTGCTGTTACCTTGCCTGATCATCTCATCACTTTGCCTGGAGGCTGGATGCTGTTTGTACCGCCGCACCGAAGAGGTCTCCTCTTATCCAGCACTTGAGTGACAGTTTGATTACTGCCTGCGCTGTCTGGGTTATCGGTGAGTAAAACTTTTATCTCATATAATGAATTGATATGATGATGATTATTATTATTATTGAAACTGAAGTCAATGATCCTCAGCTTGGTTTTGCTATCTTAGTCAAAGACAAATGTTTGCTTTAAGATTTGACGAGCATGCAGAGCGATGGCACGCTGGTTGGCACACTTGCAACTAACCCGTTCACGGATAGCATCAGTGGTAGGTCCTTTCAACTATATTCTGGGCCCCCCCCCCTCCCTGCATCCCCTCGCCCAACCGGCATTGACCAACGTGGTGAAGTATGGTCAAAAGCACCAATAACGGAGCGGGGCAGACCTCCCATCCAGCAGTAGACTTAACCAAAGCGCTGCCAATTATTGTCGCTAACGGCGGGCGGCAACGCAAACGCGCTCCGAGCGTCTGAAAACGTTTAGTTATAAAAGGCTAGAGTCAATAAAGATATGTTCGTAAATGCCAAGGCAAAATACAAAGGTTCTACTGTGCCGCGGCTTCGCGTCGCAAATAGCGTGTCCGCCTGCACGGCTACACGGTGGCAACAATCGCTGCCGTTCGTATCGTGATAAGTGAACTCCGGAGGGCTTATCCTGTGTGACATGCACGCCTGTTCCACCACCTCCCACCCCCCGTCTAAAAAAAAGTGCCGTTTACCGTAAGGTTAACCAAGAGCGCAAGCAGCAAGCACACCGCGGAAAAAAGCCATTCAATATATACTTAACTCAATTACGTGGGGGTTAGAACTTTAAGGCTTGTGCGTGTCCATGTGTTTTGAGTTTTGAGCGAGCGCCTATGAAATGGCATGCGCCAGCTTATGAGCAGAGAGACACACACGCAGCAGCAGCGGCAGCAGTTTTACCCGTGTGTCGGATTCTTTTTTTCTCCCAAGAGTTAGGGCTATTACATTATAATTTTAACAACAGTTTACAAGCGTTCGTTAATTCACAGCTGAGCGAATAAATTCCCCCCCCATGCTGTGTCGGTCGTCGGGGGGTGTTTGACCATACTTCATCACGTTGGTCAGTTGCGGATTTAAGGGGGGCAGACCAGGACCAGTTAAGCTCTTTGAGACGACGTCAACGTGCCTGTCCTGGGGAGCTACAAAGCCCTCGTTTTTTGTTACTCTCTCCTGTATCAACTCAAGAAGAAAACATCTGCATGATCCAGGCCAGTGTTGGAAAGTACTCATCTCAGTCGGCGGCTTTGATCACGTGACGAGGGCTGAGTAACTCCATACAAAACAATCACCACGGAGTGACGCAGCGCTACTTGCGCTGCGTGCGGCCGTTATCCACAAACCCGATGGGTGTGATCAGCAAATTCCTCTTTTCAATCAATCAAACCTCGGGACCTATCCTCCCTCCGTTAAAATCGGGGGTGGCTTCAATTCACGACCCGTCCGTAAAATCGGCGCGCGCACTCGACTCTCTCTGCAAGCCGCCACCCTGCCAGTTCGCGAGAGATGCGCCGCTATTAACGCGTCCCTGTAATTACAGAGCTCATTAGAGCGCCGTGGGTTTGGCAACTACCCCCCCCCCCCCCAACTCTCCAACTCCCACGCCCCGTGCACCCCAAGCGCTTGCAGATGTGCGGTGTGGCTGCCGCTGCTGCCGCTGTTGTGTTTCGGAGTTGCTCCTCCACGAGAATTGACACTCGGAGAGCTCCGCTGCAAGTCCGCATTGCCCCCGTGTCTCGGCTGTCATGTGCCGTGCGCCCGCGTGTGAGATGTGGTCCCCTCGAGGCGCTCGAGAAATCTGCGGCAGCCTTCAGAGAGGGCGAGAGAAAGGCGTTGCGCTGCTGCGAGAGAGAGAGCGCCAACGCAAACTGCACGCCCTGTGTAACGTGCATAGGCGGGGGCGTGATATCGGGAGTGCTACCGTGATGCAAGTGATGCCGTGCTGAAGCGTGGACGGTGCAATGATACGTGTTGCGTAATGTGTAACGCACTATTGTGATCCTTGGATATCCGATATTAGACATTCTTGTTCGCCGTCAAAACTTCGCGAAGCGCATTTGAAACATGTCCCGTTTAACAATATTTCAACGGTGACACGCTTTATCGATGTGTTTCACCAATAGCCGTCGCAACCTCAACAACGCACTTGGCGACGCTGCCGTCGAAGTTGCTGAACACACTCGGCGTCGCCAGCAACTTGACCGCGCCACGCGGAGACTTCCGCCGATTTCGAAGCCATCCGTCAGAACTCAACGCGCCCGATATAGCCCAGGCTGCGACGTTTACGGGTTCACCACCATCCTCGGGTCAATTATACAGTCCTCGGTGTACGCCGAGCATTCTTCACTCGTGCTCTCTCTCTCCGTGCCCCCCCCACCCACCACCACCACAGCCCCCCACCGTGCTTCTGAGATCGTATTCCATAGCCCAATCGCGTGCGTGATCCGATATGAATCAATTGGCCACCCACTTACCCCTGCCGCCCAATCACGTGCTTCTCCGATGCCGGAGCTATCTCTCGACCGCGAAGTGGGATTCTTCCCGTGGAGCCGTTTGTGTGCAACGCAGCACGCAATGTCAGAGCCGTCGTGTGTGCGCGTGTGTACGTTGGACTTCATTCGCGCCGTACGTTGCCGACCGCGCTAATCGGAGGTGCACGGTGGAAGGACAGCAAACCCGAAAACACACGGGGGAAAAATCAGTTCTAACGAAATTATGTTTCAGTCTAAGAGTGCAGCCTACCCCGATTAAAGTACGGCACCTTGATTCACACGTTACCCATACTTAGTTGCACGTGCAAAGTTGAACGCAACTTTGCACGTAACTTAGTGTTGTCTAAAGCCCACCCACCCATGCCGCAAAGTTGCTTGTGCGTGTTGCATGCACAGCCCGTGTGTGTCAATCCACTGCATTGCTCACCATGTCGAGACATCTGGCCATACTTCACCACGCTGGTCAGTGTGGTTTCGATTTGGTGGCGATGGGGGGGGGGGGTTTCAGAGCGATGTGTGTGTGCTGCACTGCGCGCTACCACCCCCACACTGCACCTGCGTCCCGTGCAAGGTAATCGCCTAATCCAAGCACGGTCGAGGCACAGCGCCTGCTGAGCTTGAAGACATCTGACGAGACCGGGCGCAATCCGGGCGATGTGTGCTTGGGCACAGTCAGTTTAAAAGGCTGTTTACGTACGAATTGTCAAAGCCTGCTAATGTCACGTGTTGCCAATGCGACGGGGACGTCTGAGGAGCAATCAGCCTCGCTTCGCTGGCGGGAGGGATGGCTGAGTGGGGACTGCGTTTTGATTGCCATCACCAGTTTCGCGCGTCTTCATTCGTCAACACTAATCCCAGAGACATGCCAGAGGGGGGAGGGGAGGGGGTCATGAGGGCACATTTAATGGCCCGCGAGAGGACATCGCTTCTATGGGGAGTAGTCAACCAGCCCTCCCCGTGTAGCCTTGCCCGTGTCACATGGGGTTAATGTGAATTGAGGAAACACAAGTTCGCTCGAAGAGGCTGTGTTTTTTGTTATTTGCAGGGTCAGGTACACGGTTGTATGCAGTGAGTGCATCCGTTACTGGTAGAGCACTTATGATGCAACCGCATCACACAAGGGATGTGCCAATTGTGTCTTCATGGAGTTGTTCCTATATATGGTACTGACTGCAATCATGCAGTCTGTGTAAAGTTGGTTACAACGGTCCATCTTGCTCCTGTACAAGAGCTGATTTCGTTCTCTCATCTCCACAGTGGACCGATCAAGACTGCATCATGGTGAAAGTAGGTTTAGGGGAGGAGTGGTGTACTTATTTAATTGTTGCACTGTGCGCCACAAACTTTGGCCGCCTCAGTAAAATTCCTGGCCACGGATAATACCCGTGGTGAGTGATATCTAAGTCTCTCCTGGACCCCATCCATTCACCAAACCCTCACTAACCAACGTGGTGAAGCATGGTCATCCGCCCCCCCCCCCCCCACCACTGACTTTGCGTGGTGATGCCTTCATCCAGGATAGACTGACAGAAGACGAGGTACTGTTCACATTTTCGCGTGCTTCAGTGGTTTGGATGTTCAGCCTCGGGTCTCGCTACACACGCTCCAGCCATGCATGTCATCCAGTCAACAGGCTTTGGGCATACCCCAGCACTCTGGAGGTGGGGGTAGGTGGATCAATCAGGGATCTGCACGTGCGTCAGACACTCGTGTGCAGGGCTCATAAAGTGCCCAGTAGATGGCAGTACAGCAGGTAGGCGGCTGATCTCTCAATGCAGATTCGTTGGGTTACCTCCAGACATGTCGCATTGGGTTTCCTTGGGTGCACGGATTTTTCTCCCACGTGCATAAGATGCCTATCGAACGATCGGCCAATCTTCCCATCCAGGACTCACCTGAAGAAGACTGCTGATACCCGGTGATTGAATCAATCAATTATATATATACACACGCGTGCATGACTCTGCTTGCCATAATTATTGAAACTAACCAGCTGATCCAGAGTTAACCGCCTGCGTCCAGCGTAGATGAGGTTTTGTTGTTGTTGTTGCTGTTGTTATCTCTCTCCCGTTGCGAGCGTTGCAGAACCACCCGCCCTCCACTCCCCCTCGTGGCGCGCAGCCTCCCCTGTCCCCCGGGGGCTTGCCGCAAACGAGGCGCTGCTAATGAATGATCGGTGGTCGTGCAAATCCGCAGGGCGAGCGAGGTGCACCAGCGAGCACGTGCTCGGGACTGGAATGGCTGCCCCTGTGCGGACGACATCGGCCCCGCAGCTCCGCTGCCTCCCCTGGCTGGCGCTCCTCTGCCTGGCTCCGCTGCAGGTGACTCTCGCCGACTCCCCTCCCCCCACTCTCACCGCCCGCAAGCTTTTTCCCTCCCCCCGCCGTGGACCCCATCCACCCATCCACCCACAACAACCACCACCGCCTTGATAATTGTTTTTTTACCCTTCTATCTGGCAACAAAACTGACACCTTTTTTTTTACAAGGAGTCATGTTTGCATTGACCACAATACCTGCAGTCGTAATGCAAACAAAAACATAACTCTGATCATGTATGCACTGTCCTTGAAGTTGATTGGTCCACACCCGAAACAGCTTTCCTTAGAGCCTAGTCTCACAAGGTGTTGGACCAGATGACGCCAAAAGGCGCACCTTCTCCGGCTGGAGACACGTGGACTCCGGCTGGGAGACACGTGACTCCGGCTCAAGACACGTGACCCCGGCTCAAGACACGTGACCCCGGCTGGAGACACGTGACTCCGGCTGGAGACACGTGCTCGCTCAGTCCGCGTGGATTAATTTAGAAGTCCGTTCAGGAGTGCATTGGGGTGTCTTTTTGAAATTGTAATATGCAACGACAGTGGAGGCTGCCAAACAGCAAATGCATCGTGTGAAACGTAAAAATTAAGCACTGCCTTGACAGCGGTATGAAGCACACACGCTGGAACAAATTCCAACCACCTTTTTCATGAGCACTGCATTATAACAGATAAACATCGTTTAAGTCGGCTGACGTTTAAAGCATTGGCCTGCTCTGAAGAGAGGCAGGCGGTGGGCTTCTCGTTGTGAAGAAGGTCCCTCGCCTGATGCATTTGCCTTCCGTGCACGTGAAGTTACAATGGCAGTGGTAATAATGAAGGTACGTAGATTTAGTTTTTTTGGTTTCCATCGAGAGAAGTCCAAAACTTGTGCAATGCGCCCCCCAAATCCCCACCCCCCCAGCCACCCAGCCCCACCGCGTGCACCCAGTCACCCGATTCACGCACGTGGCATTGTAAATCTGAACGACGCCAGACATCGAGAGAGAGCGCTTCTCTCTCGCCTCTTCTCTCTCTCTGCTTCGTGTTAGGTGCGCTTTTGCCACGTTGCCAAGGGACATTCCTCCCGTTGGCAAAATTCAATTGTGCTTCTTGTGGGTTTTTTTCGTCGCAACTTTCTGTCACGCTGGGTCAGACTCCCGTCGGTTTGCCACAGTGCAGCGTACCCCGTCTCGTTCCGTGTCACGGTAAGCAGGCAAGCGTGATTAATGTTCCCTCTTCGTTTTTTTTCTCTCTCTCTCTCTCCGCATAGAATGTCTCCTCACAAAATTTGCACAATTTGCCGTGCGTTGCTGTTGGTTTCCAGAAAACAACCGCTTTCAAACTCCCCGAGTGCTATGTTTAAAATCTTCACAACTGACCATCTATAAACACATATGCTGGTTGGAATCGACATGTATACTTCACCTCCTGGTTAAATAAATGATACCGCTGATGGTACGACTTTATTTATTTAGATAAGGACAATTCTGATGGCGGTGCAACTATGAAGTGTACTAATATTGGTCCACATGCACGACACACACACACAGACACCTTCACAACCTACTGCTCTTGTCACAAGATCTTTGCCAAGATATATTGCTACACTTTGGCTCATGCCATACACAGTTGGCTTTACAATTTATGGCTACATATTTTTTTCGAAAGTTTTTATTTTTCCACACTGTACTTTCCATTGTAACCCTCCACCCCCTCCTCTCTTTACACAGGACATGAAGAAATTATATTGCTTTACAAAACACTGAATTTCTTTTTTAGTAGTTCTAGATCTTGGCATCAGCATACCAACTGTGCATCACAGCAGTGAATACATTTAGGTGATTAGGCGTATTTATTTAAGCAGTAATTTCTTCTTCATTTTTTTTTTACTTGGAGTGTTTTCTTATTTGAATTGGATTATCTCAGCCATCCTGGATCATGAACTCACGTTGGCAAGAGTCTGGCTTCCTTAATTTGAGTGGAGACTTGGGGAGGGGAGGGATAATTTGCTGCCTGGATGTGTTGATGGAATTGTATATTTTTTTTGGGGAGGGGTATTTTTCATATCATCTTCATACACTTCCGTGTCAAATCGTGCAATGTCACGCGCGATATGTTTCATGGTGACTGTGACACAATGACAAAAACACTTGTCAGATTCGCTCGATTCAAATTTCTGCGCATTTTTTGGTGTTGTTGTTGTTGCTAAATCCTTTTAACCCATAATACTGGGGGTGGGTGGGGTAGAACAAAATGATGTACTCCATTCTTCCCCATCCCCGAACCCTCCCAAACTGAAACCATCAGTCATGATTGCCTTATCCATGATTGCGACAATTTACAGGGGATGGTGGGTGGGGGTGGAAACGTTACCCTACAGGGAAAATTATAATTAGAACAAACAGACATGGAATGCACGTAATCGGTACAGCAGGCAACATTGCATTCAGCGCCCGAGATGCCAAAATCTATGAATTCCACGACTGATTTAAGTGCTGCAAAGAATTATACGCGCAATCTACGCGGCAGTTGTGCACTGAGTACAAGCTCGTAGCTTTTGAGCGGCTTGATTGCTATCATTTTTTTAAATAGACGTTTTAACATTCGTTCATGGAACATTTCAGCTTTTCCGCTGACACGTCTTCTTCATGCAGATAGCTGATTAATGTGTATGCAACACGGACACGTGTGCGTGCGTTATTTAAATTTAACATGTAGAATTTCCACACTTCAGAAGCCGTTTTCCCACATCCAAAATAACGACCCGGTTCTCAAAACCTCTGAAACAATGACCACAGAGGAAGGTATACATCCAGGAATTCTGCCACGAATGTTTTTTCTAGGAAATGCCGCGATTAAATTGCTTTCCTTCCAAGATGTACATGGCAATGTATTTTTACAATGAGGCAAAGAACAATACCGAGGTTATTACCTTCAACAAACACGCCCCGCGCCTTTGATTCCCTGACACGCTCTCGAGTTTTCAGAGAGCCAAGCCGTGTGCGTACCTGAGTTTGAGAGAGAAAAAAAAAACATTTTTCCTTCCTTGTGCCCGCGTCTGGTTTTTGTGCAACGGGCGGTGTGCGGTTCCGATTTGATTCCGCTGGGAGCAGCTGTCACGTGCGCGTGCTGTTCGTACTCGTGTGGGCAGGGGTGGTGGGGAGTGACAGCGCACTTGATAGTTGCTGCCCAAGTCTGCTCGGCTTGCTAAAGGAGCCCGATAGACGTTGGCGACAATTGCAGACTCACGCGAGGCCGGCAAGCTGCTGCGCTTTTCACCGGCGGAACATTTTTTTGTTGGTTGAGGGTGGTGCATGATGATGCTGTTTTACCGCTCGTTCTGAGCGCGACGTCAATTCCTTGTTGAGTGTCATCGCCATCTCGTTCATCTTTTTTCGATTGGCGTCACCCTTTGACGTTGTCGGTGGCACCAACTTTGGCCACCTTGAGCGATCTGCATGCGTCGTCGTGTTATTTAAAGCGCAGAAGTGAACTCAGATACACATTTCGTGGAATTGCCTCTTTCACTCTATGTGCACTGCCATTGTTCACACACGTATACCCAAATCTCTGTGAGTGCAGCTCATGGTGCTGCAGGAAAGCTGGCACAGCGGAGTTTGAATCTCAGCAGCGGTCCATGATTAAACAGGGTTCTTAACCCTTTCCCATTCCGATGACGTATGTGTACGTTATCAGTTTTTCTTTCTTCTTCCGAACCGGAAGAAAAACTAAAAGAAAATATCTTTATCGGTACCAAGGCTCCTGCAAAGCCATGCGAGGGGGCGTGTGGCACAGTTTGGCGCCAGCTATCACAGAATGCGGTCGTGTCACTACAGTTGTCTGCGGTGAGTACAATATCTTTAAAAACAATGACGCTATCCTTCTCTAAATAAAATGTATGATTATTGCTTCCGCCTTCCGAGATTCAGCGGTGAACGGGAACCACCCTGCAACTTGCAGACGTCTCGTAACGGGACAGGGTTAAGTGTCGTGCGTTGATGATCTCAGCCAAGTAACCGATGATTGCAGTAAAATATAAAATCTGCGTTCACACCTAAATTGGTTAAATCCCATAAAAAAATATCAGTTGGCTCTACAGTGAACATTGCAGCAGGGCAGGTGGGAACGTTCTGCCTGCTAGTGTGAATAAAAAGTCAATTGAAGTGCTCTCAGAAGTCATTCTGTGAGATGTCCCTAACAAGGGATGATGTAGAGCACGGAGAGTTCCGAATTGATTCTTCATCTCGTTAAGGAGCATAAAGCATCACTGAACTCCGGTCATCCTTGCAGAAACTTTGGCTGGCCATCGAACAAACACGGTCACCACATCGCGGAGAGTTCCGAATTGATTCTTCATCTCCTTAAGGAGCATAAACCATCACTGAACTCCGGTCATCTTTGCAGAAACTTTGGCTGGCCATCGAACAAACACGGTCACCACATCGCAGAGAGTTCCGAATGGATTCTTCATCTCGTTAAGGAGCATAAACCATCACTGAACTCCAGTCATCCTTGCAGAAACTTTGGCTGGCCATCGAACAAACACGGTCACCACATCGCAGAGAGTTCCGAATGGATTCTTCATCTCGTTAAGGAGCATAAACCATCACTGAACTCCGGTCATCCTTGCAGAAACTTTGGCTGGCCATCGAACAAACACGGTCACCACATCGCGTGCTTTCAGATTCGCTTCGGCGGTCGTCTGGAACGCTCTTCCTTCCAATATTAGGAAGCCACTGGAGCTATGCACTTTTAAATCTCGATTGAAAACTAATTTCTTTAGAACTGCTAGCTATGTACGGTGCGAAATACGTTCACCATACATACGTCTCATGACAAGACACCGGTGAGATAGTTGTACTAAAATAAAGGGGCGAAAAATACACATATTAAAGTGTTAGCTAAAGATTCACTGTTTCACAATAAAACATTGCTCCTGGACGGTCCGTGCAGGTGACCGACAGAGCCCGGCTGATCGTGTGAGGCCAGATTCCCAGTGTGCTAATAATTTAGTTTCC